TGTGGAATAACAAAACACCACACATAGCCAAAGCAATCCTGAGCAAAAAAAAAAAAAATAAAGCTGGAGGCATAACACTACCTGACTTTAAACTATACTAGAAAGCTATAATAACCAAAACACATGGTACTGGCATAAAAACAGAAACACAGATCAATGGAATAGAATAGGGAACCCAGAAATCAACCCATTCACCTACAGCCATCTGATCTTTGATAAAGGCACCAAGTCTACACACTGGGGAGGAGAATGCCTCTTTAGCAAATGGTGCTGGGAAAACTGGATATTCATATGTAGGAGAATGAAACTAGACCCATACCTCTCACCATATACCAAAATCAAGTGAAAATGGATTAAAGAATTAAATATACATCCTGAAACAATAAAACTCCTTAAAGAAAATATACAGGAAACACTCCAGGAAGTAGGAGTGGGTACAACTTCATGAATATGACCCCAAAAGCACAGGCAACCAGAGGAAAAATAAACAAATGGGATTATATCAAACTAAAAAGCTTCTGCGCAGCAAAAGAAACAATTAACAGAGTGAAAAGACAACCAACAGAGTGAGAGAAAATATTTGCAAAATATACATCTGACAAAGGATTAATATCCAGAACATACAAGGAACTCAAACAGCTTTACAGCAAAAAAAGAAATAACCCAATTAAAAAATGGGCAAAGGAACTGAATAGGGTTTTCTCAAAGGATGATATACGAATGGCCAACAGACGCAGGAAAAAATGCTCAACAACACTCAGCATTCGGGAAATGCAAATCAAAACCACTTTGAGACACTATCTTACTCCAGTTAGGATGGCTAATATCCAAAAGTTTGAGAATGATAAATGCTGACGAGGTTGCAGAGAAAAAGGAACTCTCATACACTGTTAGTGGGACTGCAAAATGGTATGGCCTTTATGGAAAATGGTATGGAGGTTCCTCAAACAATTACAGATAGATCTATCATATGACCCAGCTATCCCACTGCTGGAATATACCGAGAGGAATGGAAATCATCATGCCAAAGGGATACCTGTACTGCCATGTTTATTGCAGTATTATTTACAATAGCCAAGAGTTGGAACCAGTCCAAATGTCCATCATCAGATGAATGGATAAGGAAACTGTGGTACATTTACACAATGGAATACTACTCTGCTATAAAAGAATGAAATACTACCACTCGCAACAACATGGATGGACTTAGAGAAAATTATATTAAGTGAAACAAGTCAGGCACAGAAAGAGAAATACCACGTGTTGTTACTTATTTGTGGGAGCTATAAAATAAATGAATAAATAAATATACAAAGAAAGGGTGGGGGGAAAGAAGATACAACAATTCCTTGAACCTGTTAAGACAAGTGAACAGACATGATGTAGTGGGGTGGAGAGGAGAGAGAGAGAAGGGGAAGGAAGAATGGGTAAAGGGACATGAAAATCAACTTCAATGTACAATGAGAAGTTAAAAAAAATCATGAAAAAAATAAATAAAGATAATCTAGCTATATTATATTTACAAGAGACCCATCTAAAACAAAACGTCACAAGATAGTTGAAAGGATAGGAAAAGACACACATCTCCAATAAAAGCTGGTATAGCTCTATTAATATTAGGAAAATAAATTTTAAGGTATTATTAAAGATAAAAAAGGTCATTGCATAACGACAAAATAGTCAATTTACCAGGAAGATATGATTTAAAATTTGCATGCATCTAATAATATAACCTCAAAAATACATAAAACAGGTTGACTAAACTATGAGAAATTAATAAATCCACCACTGTATTGGCAGACTTTTATTTCACTTCTCTCAGTAATCGACAGATCAATGGAAGAAAAAATTAACAAGAACAAAAAAGAATAAGCTCAATCAAAGGACACATGCAGAGCCCTGTGCTTAATATTAGCAGATACATACCGTTCACAAACGTACAGGAAACATTTCTGAAAATCAATCAAGCACTAGACCATTAAGGGAATTTCAGCAGAAATCAAAGAATCATAAACACAATACAATCAAGCAGAAATCAGTATGAAAAAGAAATTAAAATCCTGCAAGTTTGCAAATGAAATATCCACTTCTAAATAACTCAATAACATTAGAAAATACATATTTCTGAACAATAATGATACATTATTATTTAGCAATAAAAGAGAAATGTACTATTGATACATGTCACAACATGGATGAACCTCAAAAGTATTATGTAAGTGAAAGAAGCCAGACACAAAAGACCACATATTCTATGATCTCAATTATATGAAATATCTAGAAAAGGCAAATCTATAAAGACAGAAAGACAATAGTTGCCTATGGATGGGGTAGGAATGGAAAATGACTGCAAATGGGCAGGTTTCTTGCACGGGTGATGAAAATCTTCTACAATTAGATTGTTAGTGATGATTACACAACTCTGTAAATATATTAAAAATCAATAAATTTTACACTTAAGAAGAGTGAACTTTTTTTCTTGGTGGCTGGCTAGTACAGGAATTGAACCCTGGACCTTGGTGTTATCAGCACCACACTCTAACCAACTGAGCTAACTACCAGGAGCATGTAAATTTTACCTCAATAGAATTTAAAAATTTTTTGGAATGCAGCTACTAAACTTGGAGTAAAATTTATAGCCTTAACAGATTACATTAGAAAAGATGATTGACAATTAGTAACCTAATATTCCAACATAAATTTTTATTTGTTTATTTTTGTGGCCTGCCAGTACAGGAAGAATTTTTTAAAAAGCATGAGGAAAGGGCCAGCCCAGTGGCACACTGGAGAGTGCGCCACTTGGGAGCGCGGCGGCGCTCCCGCTGAGGGTTCGGATCCCATGTGGAGACCGGTTCCCGCTCACTGGCTGAGCGCGGTGCGGGCGCGACACCGAGGGTTGCGATCCCGTTACCGGTCAGTAAAAAAGACAAAAAAGGAAAAAAAAAAAAAAAAAAGAAAAGGAACATAATAAAAGCAGGTTAATAAAATAGAAAATAAAGATGCAAGAGAGGTCAAAGGCAAAGTTGATTTTTTTTTTTTTTTTTTTTTTGGCAGCTGGGAAGCCAAGGGGTCTGAACCAAAAGTTGATTGAAAAAGAAAAAAACTATGAAAGATTTTTTGGAAGAAATTAAAATGTAAGAGAACAGTGTGAGCAACTTCAAACTTCATGCAACAAATTTTATCACTTAGATAAAATGAATAGTTTCCTAGAAAAATGTAACCAAAATTGTGTCAATAAGAAACAGAAAAGCTAAACAGATCTTGGAGCCTGTAGTTAAAATTAAATATTAGATATAAAATCAAAATTAAAAATACATCATAACCAAGATGGTTTTAAAATGAGAATGCATGGATGTTTCAACATGAGGACATATATCAATGTAATTCAATGTATTAACACATTTGAAGAGAAAAACCACATGATTATCACAAAAGATGAAGAAAAGGCATCTGATAAATTCAACACTGATGATATTCTTTAGCAAACTAAGACTCTAGGAAACATTTATAACCTTTAAAAAGCTATCTACCAAAAACTTACAGCAAACATTCTACTTAGTGGTGAAATCTTAATAGCAGTCCCATTAAAATCAGGAACAGGGTTAAAGATTTTCACTATCACTGCTTCTAATCAATACTGTAGTAGAGGTCCTAGGAACACAGGAAGGAAAAATAATAAATGGTTTATAGATTAAAACAAAAAACCAAAACTACCTTTCTTTCTTTTTCTTTTTTCAGACTGTATGATTATCTAGAGTAAAAACCTGGGAGAATTTACAGGTAAATTATTAAAATTAATAAGAATTTAATGAGGTTGATAGTTATAAGTACAATATGTAAAAATAAATTGCACTTCTATACTCCAGACACAAAGTTAGAAAATATAATTTCTAAAATGATACTACCTCCTCTAAATGCACACCAACTTGATAATATGACTGCAGAGGGAAAAATATTTAATTCAAGTATCTCTTAAACATAGTACTCTGACTTTACACCCTTAGTAGAACATATTCTAAGAACAGTCAGAACTATAAAGTCATCATGAACTTTACTTAGTAGGTTTGTTGTTAATAATGGTATGGGTATTTACTCATGGAACCACTTTGTATGTTCTGTGGTTTAAGAGAAAGAAAAAAGAGGAGGTTGGGGGAGGACAAAATTCCTTTTTACAAAAAGAAAAGTCAGCTAATAAAAGTAGAAGCAATGACAAAACTAGAAAGTCATCCTTTTTCAACCACTAGTGTGATTATTAGTTATTTCCTCCTTTACTGCTGAATAATAATATAGTATTTTCATTACTGTTCAGAAATATTTTCTAATGTTTGTTATGATTTCTTCTTTCACCCTTGAGTTACTTATAAGTAGGTACTTTATTTGCAAACTTACAGCATTTTAATTTCTCAAAGCATCACCTGAGATTACTATTAATGACAAAGGAAAAAAGTAACCTTACGCTTGGTCATATTATTGGAAAGAAACAACCAGTGTGTGATTTTCCTAGATAGCACTGCTTTTGCATAATAAAGACTCTCTTCCTGCCAAAAAGAAAAAAAAAGGTAACTTTAGGGAGATCTGACAGACAGCACCTTAACCATATGCTTAAACTTAAGATCAACAATGAGAAAAACTGACATTATGAGATCAAGTAAGAAGATTGCAACTTCACCTACATTGTATTTTCACTAAAAATGTATGACTTAAATCCAGTCATGAAGAAGCAACCAGAAATCCAGACTGTGGGACATTCTACACTGGACTGAACTCTAGATTGCTGTCTCTTCCCCTTGGCCATTCACCTTTTAGCCATCTTCAAGGGATAAGCCAGAAAATTGATCAAGCTGATTGTAGACTTAGGTGTTAGAAGTTAAGGGTGAGGAAAAACATTAGGTTCAGTAGAAAGCAGAGTGCATTATTAGGAAGCTGAGGCACAAATGGAACTTCTATGCACGTGTGGTATGGAGCAGAGGAGTGAGAGTTTAGGGATTTTAGGTACTTACTTCCCGGATGGCCCCATCACAGACCCGGATGACATTAAGGAAGGTGGGCATGACCTGGGGCAGGAACTGCACACACTTGAGCCCCAGGGACTTGAAGATGAAGGTGATGGCCTGGACAACCATGGTGTGATGGTGAGAGAGGGACTGGTCTCGGAAGATCCGCATCAGGGCCACCATGGACACAGCTGGGTAGAACTCGTCCAGAGGCAGGTTTCCCATGTTGACCAGCATTTCACTGGTGCTATAGTCAGCTAGGACAAAATGACAAAGAGAGTCACGAACTATCCATGACACAACCCTGACTTTAGGCAGAGCATGGTTAACAACGCACAAAAAAACCTCCTGACAGACATTAGCATCAATATCTTTCTCCCTGGTATGTTGTAACACCACTAGGAATATGGGTCTTTTGGGAACCGATGAATAGGCTCTCACCATCAAGAACTAAACAGTTTTTGGCTTTTCTGTTACCCTAACCACAAAAGCCTAAAACAGTACATGATGGTTTTTCTTTAAATAGCTATGTTTAACTTAGCTTCTTACCATTACAGTTCACAACTTTGTAGCTGAAACCATCAATAAAAATAATTACTCTCCCAAATGAAAGTAAAAGGAATTAAATTAGCCAAACATCTGTTCTGCAGCTGTTTGGTCCCTCTAGGGAATTCAGACAAGTTAGTAGGCAAATGCTACCTGACATGAACAACGAGGATCTCGAGGACTCTGACTGGGGGCTGTTAACAGTGCAGTGAGGAGAGTAAGAACTAGAACAGGTCAAGAGACTGGCTGATTGGCAACACTGAATACAGAAGAACACCTGGAGGGACATGGCTCAGGCCCTGCTCTTGATAGCCATGGGTCTGATGGGATAACATCACAGGCATACTTCTCTAATATACAGAAGGGAGAAAAAATATGATCCCATCTATGGAGTTTAGAAACAAATTAATTTATTTGGAGGAAATAACTTTACTGGACTAGTTGGGAGAGGTACTGTTGAACTTTCACTTTCAGAAATAGGCCTGCCCTGATGGACAACAGGCTGTCTAGTAAAACTCTCCTGTATCCCCACACCCTACCCCACTCTCTCAGGCTGCATGTCAAAAGGCAGTGGGGCTCTAGGGCCAGATCCCTTGAGGGAAAAAAGAGCCCTGAAATTTCTGATTGCTACTAGTTTTTCCATGCCTGAGTCTTGCCTCAGACTTCATATCAATTAAAATAAGGAGAATAAATACCCTCTTCCTCTTTGGGTGTTACAAGAATAAAAAATATCAAATAGACACTAACAAAGAATGAGAAATGAACAGAGGTGATGGGGAGATAATCTGTATCTCTCTCACTGGCATCAAAAAGAGTACAGACTTGGCCTGTTAACCCTTGAAAAGAATCTAGACAAACGTGAGGACTCTGGCCACACTGGGAAGCAGCATCCCTGCTGGGATTCAAGAGGAAATTACTGACTTTTTGTTTAAAAGTTGCTAAATGAATCAATATCCTATAATTTCATAGTTATCTGGCCCAAGACTCTTTCTAAATCCAGCCAGCAAGGGCTTTGTGAGTCGAGATTTTGGCAAGTCTCTCATGGTTCCCCCCAACTTACAGGAGTCCTGACTTGACTTGGATTCTGACAGGCTAACAGCAGAAGCGTCCCGGGACTGGTCAATCATGCCAATGTTCACTTTGTGCTTGTAGGGATCCAAAGCCCCTAACAGCCCTAATACACGGATAGCCTGCGTGCGGAAGGGGAAGGGGAAAAGAAAACATTTATCACATGTGATTACAACAGGCTTCACAGATATTCTTCTCATGTTCCATAAGCCCCAATTCATACCCAAATGACCAGCTGGATGAACAAAACGGAGAGGGAGAGAGAAGTCTGAACAATACTGTCAGAGCATGTTAACATCACAATCTCTCTCTCTCCGTTCTCCCAGCAAAGCCTTTACAGACCAAGTCTGCTATGTTCCCTACCTCTCTCCGTGTACCCTGGTTTTGCTCAGTCTTCAGAAAATTCAGCAGAACCTCAAGCAAAGTAGGGTACTTCCTGTAGGGCTCCACCACATAGCCGGTGCTGGCCACCAACTGTCCCAGGGTCCACAGAGCCACCTGGACAAGCAAAAGATCACATGGTTTGTTGAGTCAGTGTGGGAGAAAAGAAAGCATAGTTGTACTCTCTTAATAAAATGATTGTAATGAAGTATAAGAGGCTATTATAAGAAGTTTCCAGTAAAGATACTAATCATGGACAGAAATTCGGAGAGTTAGGGCATAAAAACAAGTCTGATCAAGTACAAATCTACAACAATCACTGGATCAAAAGATAAAAAATACTCTCATCTTTCTCAAAGGAAATACCCCTTCCATTCTCAAATGATTAAAAGAAATAAGGTCATGGGGTCTCTCCTGCTCAATCAGGAATTACTGGTACTCACCTGCCTCTTGGCCAACAGAGAGGAATCCTGGAGCATGTCCATGATGATGATAAAAAGTTCATCAACCCATTTCCTCATTTCTAGGCCACTAACCTGTAGAATGAAAAAGGTGGTAGATGGGATTAGAAATTATGGCACTAAGAAGTATTTTGACTTCCTCAGAGGTTAGTTTCTTTCCACCTTGTGGAAATAGCAGTTGTCTCCATACCTGAGCCAATTCTCCTATTGTAGCCAAGACATTATTGATCACGCCTGGGTTTGGATCAGGGTCTGGATCTTTCAGTTTCAAAATTAAAGCCTAACGAGGTATAAGGAAATGAATGCAGATTAGAATCTACTAGACACCCTTCTTTTACATAAGTAAAATTCGCCCAAGAGATCATCTCAGTTATAAATAAATTACTTCTAGTCTTTAGGAAACCAGGATTTCACTGGAATATGGATTCTCAAACTTTTCTTCATACTGAGTAGAAGTCTGACATATGAGAGATGGAAAGAACCATGATTTAAAAACATTTCCCATGTTTCTAATCTATATCTCTGTGATCATTTGCCCAGATTCATGTTATGAAAGACTTCACATGACACTAATATATTCATATTTGAAGGCAGATTTTAAAGCTCATTCTTTCTTCATTTTGGGGGAGCTATTTTTTTTTTTTTTCGTGACCGGCAACGGATCGCAACCCTCAGTGTCGCGCCCGTACCGGACCGAGACCAGCAACGGGATTGCAACCCTTGGCGCTGCCCCCACTCCTCACTCAGCCAGTGAGCGGCCGGTCTATATGTGGGATCCGAACCCTCGGCGGGAGCGCCGCCGCACTTCCCAAGTGGCGCACTGTAGCAGTGCGCCACCGGGCCGGCCCTGGGGGAGCTATTTTATGTCACCATTCACCTACTTCTTCCCGAGCACACTCAATGTGTCTGAAGAATCCTTTCTTATCTCTCATAAAGACAGAATTTCTTGCAACTGGTAAGATTCTTGGTATTCTTCAACCAAAAGTGCTTGATGTGGCCCTGTCCCTAAGACTGGGACCAAAGAATTTCTCTACTTTGCTCAGTGTACCAGCGAGCATTGAAACACTCCCATCTCCCCAAACAAGCTGACATAAAACAACCTGGAGAGAAGGTGCCAGCCTCTCTGTCTGTTGTATGTTACCTTCAGAATAGGTTCCATGTAGGGGCGGATGAGTCGGGGGGCATTGGAGACCAGGTGCCCCAGCATGCGGGCACTCTGCTCTTTGATTCTTCCAATGCCGCTGTGCTCCAGCTCTGTCAAAATCTATAAGGAAGAAAGGCTCACTATGACAGAGGACATTCTAGAGAGGGACTGTGTGTTAAAAGGGAAAATGTGGCAATTAACTAAGGAAAGGAACCACACATCCACAGCAGATCAAATAACTTCTAGTTACTCAACAAGGGACATCTCTGCAGCTCACAGAATAGCCTTGGATACAGCTGCAACTGAAAGAAAAACTATTTGAAAGCATCCCCTTCTACTATCACAGCACCCTAAAGTCCCACAGTCCTCCCTAACATGGAGTTTTTAACAGTGTAACACAGTCACAGAGAGTGAGAAAACCAACAAGGAGAGCTGTGAGTAGGGTTTTGCAGAAATGAAGAATGGAGGGCTCCCTGGGAGAAAAATCCTTGTCCAGACAGCAAATCACTAAGAGGGCCTATAAATAATAACAAAGTAATCAAAGAACAGTTAGAAGAGCTATGACATTGAGAGAAATGCTGATACTCCGTAGGTCTTTTGGGCACTTCTAGATAAACCCAAATAGTTGAGGATAACATCAATAGGATCCCCTTGAGCCTTTCTGAACAGAGAAAACTGTTAGCTCTAACTGACATCCTTAAAACACCAGCAAATCAGCACATTATGTTCATGGTGACACAGACATAGACAACTTAATATAGACAGACTTATAGATAGTTGCCAGAAGGAAATCTCTGAGCAGTGAGGAAAGTGAACATCACAAAGCCCAGGTTAATTCAGCCACCCAGAGTAGTCCATATATAACATTATATTTTGTCTTAGGTTACACTGATTTAATAACACTGATTCTCTGGATCCCCTTGGCAGCCTGTTTTCCTCTAGTCACAGCAAGACAACAGCAATAGGAGATAGAGAAGGATACTGAGAATGGACCCACAGTAGCAAGAGGCGATGGCTGGTTGTGAGAAAACGTGCCCCAGTAAGCAGAGCACAACCATCTAGGGCAGCACAGGGCCAAACCAAATAACTGCAAGTCCCCTTCCAGAGCCAGAGAGCCTTGATGCACCCTAGTAAGAACAACCAGTGCCAACCCTAATGACCAAGACCTCATGAAAATGCCAAACTTTTACTAAGGTTTGAAAGTGCATAATTCAATTTGGGAAACCCTATATCAAAGTTTAAAAACAAAAAAATTACTTAAAATCTTGGAGTTTCAAGAACTAAATTCAGGACATAATAAATTCATTCAACAGAGCTTCATATTGTTTGATATCAGAAAAATGAGATGGCCTGAGAGCTATTGATGTCAGCTTCAAGAGGAAGGAGCCATGTCTGGCTTGTTCATAAATATATTTCCAGCACCCAGCAGTATCTGAAATGTAGTAGGTGCTCAAAATATCTGCTAACTGAATGAACACATTGATATTCTCATTAGGAGATATTTCTATACCAAACTCATTTAGCACAATTTGAGCTGACAGGCTCAACAATGATTTCTTTTCCTTCCCAAAGACTTAGGTATTTTAAAAAGACTTAAAATGATAGGCACTCCTAATGTGAGCTGGCAGTTAAAGAAATAAATTGTTAGGCTAAAAAACAGAACTGCCAACAAAAGTTAAATTTTCTAATTTGTAGACTGATGATGTAATTTACAGCCACTTTAATTATGAGAAATTGTGAATAAATGACATTTCTCTAGGATGAATTATATTAATGACTTTCTATGTTTAAGTTCTTTATGTGTTATGAAAAGTGTTTATTTCAAAAGAAACAATGGGGGAGGTCAGGAAGCAGAGGGTGAGGTGGGGACAGGGTAGAGGTGAGGGGACAGGAAAAGACTTGGTGAGCCATTTCGAGACCCAGAAGAGGTAGGTGGAAATAACTTGAGGCAAGGATTGGACCATGCATTGCTCATGAGGAGGTCAGAGAACTAACATGGATAGGTGAAGACAAAAACTGAGGAGCCAGGTTTCATCAGGAATTGAAAATCCTTTTAGATCTAGTAGCAATGCCAACCTGAATCCACCTTAGGCTATAGTCCAAGCAGCTTAACTTGGCATCTCACATTAAGAATAAAAGTTAGGGACCACAGACCTGGGACAATGACTAAGAAAAAATGTTAGAACCGTCCTCATGCTTGTTATTTTTGTTAAGAACAGTGGCCTCTGTGCTTGATCTGGCATCATCAAGAAAAGCAGGAGTAGATGGATCAGTAGGTGCTGGGAAGACTGACACCATCTGTACTAAAGAGGGTCAAGAAATGGAATCACTGGTGTCTTGCCAGGTGGAAGAGCTGCATGAGGCTAGCCTGGGATGAAGAAGCACCCTGCAGTCATACTGACAAAAGACTTATGAGTGATGATCCCCAGAATCGCAATTACAAACCCAAGAAAACATAGATGTTGGATCCAAAAAGACCTTGGCTTTTACCAGGTATCTCTATCTTTCTTCCCCTTCTTTGCCCTTGACTCTCCTACCCCAAACAGCTCTCACAGGGAGAGTCCTTTCCCCACTGCCTGTACGTATGATTGTCATCACATTACCTGGATGAGCATCTTGCGTAGGAAAGGCATGACAAAGGCTGGGTTCATGCTACTGAGTCGGCCAACAGTGCAGATGGCTAGTTCCCGGATCTCAAACACCTGGTCATTCAGGGCCACAAACAGGGCCTGCAAATTCTCTGCCTGGGCCAGGTGTGCATCAAAGCGCTCATCCAGAGATGCCAAGACACAGTAGCGGATGTCGGGGTCTGCAAGAGCAATTGAGTGCGTGAACATCTCTTCATGATCCCATCACTCCAGTCCTTTCCCAGTTACCATTTCCACTGCCATCAGTCTAGTGGGAGGATTCTAGATACCTTTCTTTCATCTAACTTTCTGTCATTCTTTTCTCTACTCAGGAATAATGGTCAAAGAATTAAAGACAGATTATTTTACACCACCAGGCTGGAGTAGCTAAGCCTAATACTTTGGCCGAGAAATAACTGAACATCAGCTTGAGGGTGAAGATCTCTAGAAAGGCCATGTAATGAAATTGGCTACTTCCATCTGCCCCAAGCTCCTAAACCACCCTACACTGCTTCTGTCTTGTAAGCTTACCAGGATCTGTTATGCCAACCACGAGCAGTTTGCTGAGCACATCTGCCACCACTTGCACTGCAGTCTGGCTAACCACGTGAGCATGGCCACTGATGAGGTGGATGGAGGGTGTGAGCAGGCGGGAGCAGGTGCGGGCAGCTTCCATGCGGATCTCCTTGTGCTCACTGTTCAGGAAATGATCCGCACAGTGGCGGACAAACTGGGTCAGAGAGTGGCCTGGATGCAAAGGCAGAGAGAAATTAGAACAAATGCTGCTGTGGACAGATAGGTTTGCAACTTGCTAGCTGCATTTTCCATTTTGTTACTATTAATTCCATTTTCAACAAGATATTGATCAACAAGGTATTGACCCAGAACTCTTCTCTTAAGGGGTAACAAATGGGTTTCTAATCAGCACAAAGGCAGAAGACATGGTGAAGGAGCAGAGAGACAGAAAAAAGGTACCCTCCCATCTTACCCTTTCTATATTCTCTTCAAAGAATAAATTATTTTGTTTTATTTTGACCCAACCCCTTACATTCCCAAAGGGCAAAACAATTCTGGATCAAATTTACCTTGACTATTTTCATTCCCAGATCTAAATACAAAAAACAGAGTCTGATGTAGGCTGGGTTTAAGCATAGTTACTTTCTATTCATTAGAAATAAATTATCATGGGTGTTAATCAATGTAAATGGAAAAACTGCAATAGAGAAACCACAGACAACTGTAAGTCTCCAGACAGCATGTTTAGCCTTTCTGTACTTGCTTGTTTCCTTATACTCTTGATTAATACTAACTACACAATCTTAAATTTCACAAGTATCCATTTTTTCTCCTGAAATGTATCTCCCTATGTTATTAATGTGGGTTTATCTGCAGCTTAGAATTACACACATACACAGTACAACACTCTTGGAAATCATACCACCATGGGAATGGAAATACCCAAAAGCCTCTGTTTATACATTTCAAAACATTAAATTCCATCTCAGCTACAGGGAAGTGTATGTGGGGGTATGTGTGTGAAGAAGTGAGGGGGATCCATCTCTGAATTCTGTCTCTGAAGCATTATTTCCTTAGATCTATGCATACTTTCCTCAAAACCATCTATTCCCAAATGCAGTATGTGACAAGGAAACAAACATTAGAGCATAGCCTTATAACACCAAGGTTATAGGTTCAGATCCCCATACAGGCCAGCCACCAAAAAACAAACAAACAAAAAAAAACAGAACAGAAACAAACAGTAGGAGTTAATAATATATGGAGAGAATCTAGGAAGAATCAGCTAAATTAGACTAGATTCAGCTAACCTCCAGGACCCTGGCAAGATCCTAGAATTCTAGGCACCTTCATTCTTTCCTCAAGGTTGCCAGCATCACTCACTATCTTGGCAAGACCCACTGCAATTCCTTACCTTCAAATTCAAAACTACCAAGGGTTCGGAGGGCAAGAGTGATGCTGCCCACATCGCTGGCCTCAGGGAGGGTCGTGAGGCCAGGGGAGGCCAGCTGATGGGCCAGGCCCTTAGGCATGCCTGGGTGCCGGAGGGGTTTGTGCATAAGGACCAGGGACAGCATCTTCAGTAGCCCATCCTGGATATCCTTCTTTAGCTGTGGAATCTGACGGCTCAGGTCATAGAGCACAGCAGTGAGGGCAGGGCTGAAGGAAAGGAAACCAGTTACATATGGGGCTGGGCACATGACGTTCAGTCTGTTCTGGGGAAGAAACAGTCCTTGCTGTCCAGCAAGGGGAGCAGGCCCCATCACTGCTTGGTCTTTAAAGTAGAAAGGATACTATAAAATAGAGTAAATGTGCTTAACTCTCTTGGCTTGGTCTCGGATTTCAGAATAATCTATGAGTTTCTGTTTTTTGCCACAGGAGAACTTCCTTAATATAATTCAGCCACTACAGAAAACTAAGTCTCAATAAACAATCTGGGAAGCAAATTGAGTGTATCATCTCTATTTCACAGACGAAGAGAACTGAAGTTAAAGGAGCTTAAGCAATTTGATGATTAATAGTACAAACAATTGCTGCAAACATTTACTGAGGACTTCCTATATACCAGGCACTATGCTAAGAGTGGCTTTTTCATGAAATCTTCACAATAACCCTAGACAAGAGGAATTGCTATTGTACCCATTTTTCAGATGAGACAACCAAGGCTCAGAGAAGTTAAGTAATTTAGTCAAGACTACTTAGCTAGCTAGCGATGAAACCAGGATTCAAAAGAAGCCTATGTGTTTAATCTGAGCTGTCTTGCCCATCCAATTTAATGTGCAACAACCATGCCTTGCTCTTTTAACACAGTCCCAACACTGTGGACCATGCCTCCCACTAACTGAAGCAGGGAAAGCTCAGGTTTCCAACACCTACCTCAGTCCCACTGCCAGCATGGGCTCTAGTAGCTCCTTGATATCCTGCTGGATGCCTGGCCCCATTGCTCGAGCCAGCATGCTGATGCAAGTGAACACTGTGGCATCCACCTGCATTGCCTTCTGCCTCCTGCAGAGAAACAAAGAGTGGTTAATGTAGATATAATAATATTCTGTGATGTCCCACCTCAAAATCACCTTGGGGCAAGAAGGGCAGGTTATTCAGGCAGGGTTACCACACGTGGGTGTGCAGACTGTCTACTCACACTTAGGGGGCCCATTACATCATAGTCCCTGTAGATTTGTATATTTAAAATGACAATCCAGCAGATGGCAGTAAAGGGTATTAAGAAAGGGGCCCCTTTTCTGAATTCACACAGAGGTACTATATGGGTTAGTGCAGTAATGACCAAAGTAACTATTTAGGCAGCAAACTGAACAATATGTTCATCAGGGACCAGAGGGCAGCACACAGCCATCATACGGAAAGAAAGTCTTCTCCCAATGATAAGATTGTAGGGCTTTAGAAAGGGTGAGGTTTATTAATTTACCAGAGCAATCCTTGCTAACAAAACAGAGAAATAAAAGACACAACTCTAAAACTAAAGCCAATTGAAACTGACCCCCTAGCTTTAGCAAAGACATCCTGGCCTCTCTGACAGGGAGCTTAAGGTTTTTCTTATATTTTATTCATTGGGAGTGTGAAGAGGTGGAATAACTTACCCAACTTTAGCAATAAGAAAAGATGACTGTTAGGTCCCCCCAATTCCAGTCAAGGAGTCCTCTCTTTAGGTCTTATATCAAAATAAGACCTTTGAAAGCCAGAGAAAAGAGCAAAACTAGAGGATTCCCAGTAAATAACAATACTGAAAATAGCACTGGTGTCTAACACATTCTCAGGGCATTCGACCTCCCGAAATATTTACGTTCATTTCATATCATTTGGAAAAGGTCAGAATTCAACTGAGGAACGGCTGTCCTTTATACAATCTGCTATACCCTGGAGTCTAACACTGCATAGAATGGGCTTAATCGATATGCAACTGGGATGGAGCATCCTTCCTCTCCAACCAAAAGGAGAGGAAGGTGAAATCATAATAGAGATGCTTACTTATGGGCGAAGTCCTTAGGGGGCAGAGCTGCTCGGATGATGTCTAGTACACGAGGCAAATAGACCTTAAACTCAGACCTCACAGCCACAGAAAGTAGGCCCAGGGCTTGGAAGGCTGCTGTACGTTCCTTCTCCTTCTTGACACAGCTTAGGACATGGTTCATGGTATCTTGGAGGTACTGGGTATCTGAACACAGAAAGAAAAACTGGATGGCTCAAGGTTGGGGTTGGTTTATACATAAATGGTCAGAGTTCCTCTAAAGCACTTAAGAATAATAGAAGAAAGCCTGCTGGAAAGATGTTAAGAAGAATTTAGAGGATGTACGACTGACCAAAGTCTTCTGCTTGATAATCACTCCTCAGATACATCTTTTGGAAATATTAGAAACATAAGAAAATTTTTCCTTTAATAAAAAAAAAACAAAAAACAAAAAAAAAACACCTTAAACGGTCTCCAAAACAATGATATCACAAAATTGTCTCCATTAGTATTTTATATATATATATATATATATTTTTTGTCTTTTTTCCATGTCCGGCAACAGATTGCAACCCTCAGTGTCGCCCCCGTACCGGACCAGGACCGGCAACGGGATCGCAACCCTCGGCGCTGCCCCCGCGCCTCGCTCAGCCAGTGAGCGGGAACCGGTCTGCATGTGGGATCCGAACCCTCGGCGGGAGCGCCGCCGCGCTTCCCAAGCGGCGCACTAGCGCAGTGCGCCACCGGGCCGGCCCCATTAGTATTATATTTTGAGGGAAAGATTACATGCTGTTGTTTAAGACATATGTTACCCTGTATTGGCCACCTGCTTTTAAAAAAAATAAAATAAAAATTTTGAGAGATAAGAGATATATGTTAAATCTTGTTTAAAAACAAGGGAGGATTATCTAAACTATTTTATATTATAATGAAATTAGAAGTAATATTGAATACTATTTGAAATAAACAGGCCATTCCATTCAGTTTAGGCCCTGAAATTACTTTGTTATTACCTAGATATTTTTGTTATAGTTATGTTTAATATAATAAGATTTAGTCTGTAATTTGGAAAGCCACATGTATATTTTCATTAAGTTTACATAAGCCAATGTTCATGGGTAGGCGATTCTTGTGTAATTTAAGCTAAAGAGTTATTTTTCCTCTGAAGGCTAGAATTTCCTGACTCTTGCCTCTCTTCTATTTCTTCTCTTCCTTTAACGCTTGTCCCAAGTCCATGCAACAGCAGCACATATAAAACAGCAGAGAAGGGAAGGCAAGACCACACATTCATTAGAAAGTCAGGGGTCTTGAGGGCTACCGGAACCACATTTAGAGAATGAACTAAATGCCCAAGCAGCACATATACACCACCACGGTTACTCTAGTGGGAAATGTCTTCTCCCACAGCTCTTGTGGTCAAATGAAAATGAAGCATTCTGGGGCTTGAAAACAGGCAGACCAACCAATTTTAGTTAATACAACCCTAAAATTAGAGTGAATGAACAAGGAAAACTGGGCTTTCACATATAGGGAACATTTCAGCAGGAAATGAGCTTAAATCAAGATTGTAATTTCTTTTTCCAAATTTAGTACCCTGAGAGATTAGGATTCTGACATTGTAGATTCCAACTTAGTCTTAGGGTGAGTATTTTTGATATTCCCCAAATTAAAATTGGGAAATTCAAGCAATGAATTCCAAACTGCAGGCTTTAAACAAGCAGCAGTTATGCAATGAGGTGAGTACTTACGGAGGCTGCCCAGGCTAAATTTCACTGACATATTTCAGTATATTATTTAATAAAACAACAAAAACCCACATCAAAAGAATAATCCTAGGGGCCCCCTGAGTCTTTGTATCCTGCTGCTAGGCAGCCTTTTGAACTTAAATGTAACTGTTTCTACAATGTTCCAGACTTTGATCAGATTTGGCCTAGTTATTAGTTTCTTTTGAACCACAGACTCTCAACCCAAGATCATTTAAAGCTCTACTGAACAGGCGCATGTCTTATTATTAGAAAAGAGAAAAGCTGCTGGGTGCTAGGCAGGAAGAATGGAAAACAGAAAAAATATGGGTGATTTTCATTCTATCATTTCTCTCTGGTTCAGTGATTTTATGTGGCTAATTGTCTCGTCCTTATCCAACATGTTCTTTTTTTTGTCTTTTTTTCATGTCCGGCAACGGATCGCAACCCTCAGTGTCGCGCCCGTACCAGACCGGGACCGGCAACGGGATCACAACCCTCGGTGTTGCTCCCACACCTCGCTCAGCCAGTGAGCGGGAACCGGTCTGTATGTGGGATCCGAACCCTCGGCGGGAGCGCCACCACGCTCCCAAGCGGCGCACTGTAGTAGTGCGCCACCGGGCTGGCCCCTATACAACATGTTCTGCTTCTCACACACAGCATGTTTAACACCTCACCTGCTAGATTTCTTCCTCGGTTTCATCTGGGCTGGGTGGCATGAAATAGATCTGTGCTAGGGAATGGCTACGGCTGGCCTTCCACTTATGCTCCTGGCTCTCCATCGATCCTGAATGCTTACTGAGCACAGGTGATGTACACCAGAGTAAAGTATAAGGACATGTTTGAGGTCTGGCCAGTTAGCTCCCTTGGTTAGAGTGTGCTGCTGACAACACCAAGGTCAAGGGTTCAGATCCCCTTACCAACCAGACACCAAAAACAAAACCAAAAAACCAAAGACATTTGAAACAGGGTCTCCACACTCAGCAAGTAGGGAGGTAAGACAAGGACATTAAATATGAACAGACAACTGGAGCATTATAATTTTTACCTCTACTTTCTTTCCAAAATAAGCTTGAAGTAGCTCGAAGAGGCAATAATAATATAATAGTGGTTTCCATTTATTGAGGCTTACTCTGTGCCAGGTGCTAGAGTAGGTGTTTAGGCATTAATGCTGTTCATCTTGGGAGGCAGGATTTTTATTCTAATTTTACAAATCAGGAATTGGAGGCCCAGGAAGGTCAAATAACCTGTCCAAAATCTCATAGTTAAGGACTGAGGCAGGATTCACCCTAGGTCTGATGCCAAAGCCTTTCCACAGTTGAGGGCTATAATGGAAGAGAAAAAGAACATTTCCAGCTGGAGCAATCCAAGAGGGCCTCATGGAGAGGCTGCATTTAAGCTGTGCCAGCTTCTGGAGCCAGGAATTCACACTACCCACTGAGGACAGGGCAGGAATATGGAACCCGCAGCCTATCACCTGTGGAACTGCCTTTGAAATTCAGTCCTTCCTTCCTGCAAGTGGTGAGGCAGGTTGATGACCACCTCAGGAGCAGCAGCAGTACAGTCCCCAAAACCCCCCTGCCCCACAGAGAGGCTGCTGCATAGTATCTGCACTGAAAATGCCCTTCCTTTGGTCTCTTCTAAAGACTTAAAAATTTGTGAACTTATTGGCATCCACACATGAGAACTGCCTCACTGCCTACACATTCTGATTGTTCCTGTGTCTGCTGCCTCAGACATTAGTAGAAAACCCGAAGTAGATACCACTGAAACTGGACATGAGGCAGAGAAATCAGAGACTAGCCTCTTAGCTGGCACTGCTTCAAATGAGAAGCAGACATAACTTTCTGGAATCACCTTTTCCCTGTTTAATTACCCTTAGATGGGTAATGATGTCTTCTATGGCCATCCTCACCTGTGAAGGCAGAAGGTCGGAATGCAGCCAAGCGGGGCAACAAATTAAGGATTGTCATTTGGATCAGTGAGTTCTTGCTATTCCTGCATTTCAGCACCCACTGGCACACCTGAGAGAGGAAGGATAAAGGGTTAGCAGAGGAAACTGAGGCATGGAGCTTGGGAGAAGAGGGAGAGAACCTCCCGCCATTTACCTGGTCAAATTTCTCCTCCATCAAGTCTCTGCAGCACCGACTCTCCACCAGGGTGGACTTAGCTGGGCTGGGGGAAGCCCCAAATCCCATGAGGCCTTGGTGAGAGCTGTACCCCAGCAGCCCCACCAAGGCATTTGACTGCTGGGGTTGCACAGCCTGGAAGCTGGTGAAGGGTGTAATGTGACGAGGTTTTGTTCCAAAGCCCATGAGATCTTTGCAGTATTTGTCATGCACCAGCTGCTGCTGTGTGATTTCTTCCATTTCTTCTCTCAGACGCTATAACATGAGCAAAAAAATTTCAACTTTACTTATGAGTGGCATTCAACCTGGGCACTGTGTAATCTAGAGAGGAATACATTTGTCCAATCCTGAAGTGTAATTATTTCCAAAGTGGAGGGTGGCCACTCTTCATCTTTATGATTACGATTTCCCCAGCACCTTTCAGAAACCTGCTTTTGTTCTAATTTAGGCAGAAGAGCACCACCTACTGAACAATGAAGCAGCAGCAGGGGACTGGCTGCCAAAGGCTCCTACCTGGAGGACTCCCACCCGGCTTGGGAAGGCTGACTTGCAAGTTGCAGTGACTATAGATCTAAGATCATAGCAATGAGGCCTCTTGAAAAGGCTAGGGGCAGCCCCAGGCCAGATTCCTGTTCAGGATATTCTGGTCTCTTTCTCCCCAGAAACCTAGGTAGAAACTTAGGCAAATCATTTTCTCAGAATCCTAGGATTTCACAGGAGGTATGGAACAAGCTAACTGGCTGAGAACTCACATCTTATTCTCTTTTCTTTTTTTTTTTTTCCTTTTTTGTCTTTTTTCGTGACCGGCAACGGATCGCAACCCTCAGTGTCGCGTCCGTACCGGACCGGGACCGGCAACGGGATCGCAACCCTCAGTGTTGCTCCCGCATCTCGCTTGGCCAGTGAGCGGCCGGTCTGTATGTGGGATCCGAACCCTCGGCGGGAGCGCTGCTGCACTTCCCAAACTTAGGCAAATCATTTTCTCAGAATCCTAGGATTTCACAGGAGGTATGGAACAAGCTAACTGGCTGAGAACTCACATCTTATTCTCTTTTCTTTTTTTTTTTTTCCTTTTTTGTCTTTTTTCGTGACCGGCAACGGATCGCAACCCTCAGTGTCGCGTCCGTACCGGACCGGGACCGGCAACGGGATCGCAACCCTCAGTGTTGCTCCCGCATCTCGCTTGGCCAGTGAGCGGCCGGTCTGTATGTGGGATCCGAACCCTTGGCGGGAGCGCTGCTGCACTTCCCAAGCGGCGCACTGTAGCAGTGCGCCACCGGGCCGGCCCCATCTCTTTTCAAAGGGCTGCTTAATAACTCATCCTCCAACAGTCCAAAACAGTTTCCAAACTTCCAAACTTTTCTCAATGACATTTTTCTTTTCGCAGAAAATCTTGTCCAGTATTGTTGCTAAGGTCACCAATGACTCTTATGCTGCTAAATTCAATGGTAATTCTCAGTCTTCATCATACTTGACTTACATGCAGCATTTGATCCAACTGGTACTTCCTCCTCCTTGAAACTCTTTCTTCACTTGGCTTCTGGGACCCTAAACTCTCCCGGCTCTCCTCCTTCCTCCCTGGCTGCTCCTTCTAGTCTCCCTTAGTTCCTGTTAACTCCTGACCTCGGGTTCTCAGACTCCATCTCTTCCCCAGCTACACTAGTTCCCTTATTCTCATCCAGTATCATGACTTGAAATAACATCTACATGCTGATGATTCCCAAATCAGCATCTCTTGCCCAGATTTCTCCTCAGAACTCCTCAGTATCTCACTCAGGTGCCCAATAGGCATCTCGAACTTAAGATCAAAACCAAACTCCTGACCTTCTCCCCCAAACCTGCTGCTACCATCTTAGTCCTCCCACCTCAATAAATGGCCATTCCATCCTTCCAGTTGCTCAGGCCAAGCACCTTGACAATTCTTTCTCAGGTGAGGAAATCTCTGAGGGCTACTATGCAAAGAACGCCCATTATTTATCAGGTGCCTGCGGGCACTTCGCATATATCTAGAAACTTCACAAGAGCCCAATGAGGTGGGTAAAAGCCCTTGTCAAAAGTAAGGAAAATGAGGCTATGGAGGGTGAAATAATTTGTTGGAGTCACAGGATATACAAAGGAGTGGGGATTCGAAGCCAGACTCCTGCTTCTGCACATGCCTGCATGTGCTGCTCCCACATCCAGGGCATAGCCATTACCAAATGATCGCTGTGTCTATTAAAGCAGGAAGACCTGGGGTGAAATTCCACACCAACTAAGTCCCCACAAGAAGTCTCACAGATGCAGTGCTACTTCCCAAACATATTCTGAATTCAATTACTTTTCAGTATCTGTACTGCTATTCCTAGTTGAAGCCACCACTGTTGCTTGCCCAGACTGCTATAATAGATACCTGTGGCAGCTGTAAGAATGCGATCTCAAACTACAAGGAGCATAACTGAAAAAGGGCCCTAGCTACTGGTTTGAAATTTATCACCAAGTCTGTGCCAAGGCCACACTGTCCATGGGCTGCTCCCAACCAACAAGAGAACACAGTAGGGATGGTAAGGCAGGCCTACTCCTGGACAACACAGGACTCCTCTGATGGCTGACTTTGGTTTGCAGACCCCACAATAGCCTTGTATGGTAGACTAGGACACTTCCACTCATTTTTCTTCCCTCTCTTGTTCACTCAGGGTCATTCGTGCATTGTGCTCCGACAGGTTCTCCCAGCTCCCTCCCCATTTTCTCTCACAGGCTATTTCTCTAATAAAATCCTTGTACTTTTAAATCTGTCTTCTTAAGCTAACACACCTCCTAACTGGTCTCCCTGCTTCATTCCTGCCTCTCCACACACTTTTCCCCACAAGCAGCCAGTAACTGTTAGACATGCATGACAGCACAGCATTCCCCTGTGTACACATCTCCATGTCTGCCCCTGCAATTAGAACAAAAGCCAGTGTTTACCGTGAACCCTCGGCTCATGAATTTGGCCCCTCTCTCCCTCTCCCTTGCTCATGGTGCACCAGCCACACTTCCTTTCTTTCTGTTTCATCAATTTGTCCAGGTCTCTCCCACCTCAAAGCTTCTGCCTGGAACACAGGCCCCCAGCCCACTGTGAGGAAGTTCCTTCATGTCACACAGGTCTCCCTCAAATGGCATCACCTCTGGGAATGCCTTCCCTGACTCTCCACCCACCGCCTTTCCCCATTACCCTCCATCCTATTTCCTATTTTCTTTTCTTTATAGGACTTCTGGCATCTGAAATTATTTTGTTTACTTGTTTACTGTCTGTTTTCCAATACAAAACGTCAGCTCCATGAGGACATGGATCTTGCCTTGCCCACAGAAAGGCATATGAGAAGACTGAACTTCCCTCTGATGTAGCTTCTCACCTCTCCTTCCATGCTGCTGATTCGCACCAGCTCATTGAGTATCAGTAAGGCTCCATGGATCCGATCATCCCGATTCATGCCCTTCTCTTTGGCCAAGGTCTCATCAAACCCTTTCTCTGCTTCTTCAAATGTGTGCTATGTAGAGAGACAGAACACCTTAATTACCCAGTGTCCAAAGTTAAAACACAGGCCCTCCCCATCTACACTGGGGGTTCTGAGGTGTTACTATGCCTGCTCAGTGCTCTGTGCCATCAGCAATACTAACTTATCAAACTCTCTTGTTTAACTGAGCTTCAACTCTCACAACAAGCCGTTGAGGCAGACACCACTATCATTCCTATTTAGTAGCTAAAAAAACAAGCTCAAAAAAATTAAGTGGCCTGTTGAGGTTGTACAGTAAAGGCAGGACTGGAAACCAGGGCTCCCAATCCCATGTTCAGGTCTCTTTTTGTAAAATAAGGTTCGTTAGCAAGTTCCTTTGGCAACGCAGGACTCATGACACTCGAGTAGAGGGAACTGGCACTTTCTACATCAGTACTGACCATTATTTCATTGATTCTGAGACACCTGTTTTTCCATATTTTAACATCTCTGAAAAGAGATGTCTTATAATTGTTGATAAGAAGGTACTAAGCCACTGTTTAATTGGCCTGTTTTCATTCTTAGTGATATATAAAATAATAGTGTAACTATCAATAGATTTTTACTTTAATGAAATGTAATAAAACAACAATTGATTCATACGGAGCATAAAAAAATTGTTTGAGACCAAAACAAATGTGATACTTGCTCCATGGCAAGGAGCCTGTTGCTGCCCTTTAGGCCGGTGGTTCTCTCTGTAAATGTGTTTTCTGGTGGCTGGAAGGGAGCCATCTCCTCACCCTGTACCACTGAGGCTTCTGCATCTCTTTCGGCTCACGCTGGGTGGTAAGAATCAGACAGGCACGCAGGGCCGCTACTGCTCCCTCACGGATGGCCTGTTTGGGGTCCCATACAGCCACGAAAATGTTGTCAAAGAAGGGCTGCACTTGCTGGAAGAAGAAGGTGGGGACGCTGATGGCCAGCTCACGAAGAACCAGGACCTGGGAGAAAAAGGCAAACTGAGATTCCTTATCTATATTGGAAAGTTTGGTTCTCTCAGAGTACAGCCCCTTTTCACTCTAGTGTCTACACACACTAGAAAAAGAGAAGACTTGCCCACTCTTCTAGCTAGGAAATTCTGGAGACAGAGGAAGGAAAATAAAATTGATCAAACGTTGTTATCCTAGGTTGCTCACAAACAGAATGCCTGTAACGTTTGAAAGGCAGCTGTGTTTTATGCTTTGTATACCACTATACTAGCACCATAGAACAATGCCTGGAATACAGTATATATTCAATAAATGTTTATTGAATGAATGAACAAACCTGTTTAATGTTTAATCTTTTTTTTTTTTTTTTTTTAAAGATGACTGGTAATGGGATCTCAACCCTTGGCTTGGTGTTGTCAGCACCACGCTCAGCCAGTGAGCGAACCGGCCATCCCTATATAGGATCCGAACCCGTGGCCTTGGTGTTATCAGCACCGCACTCTACCGAGTGAGCCACAGGCCGGCCCTTAATGTTTAATCTTGTTATTATTTTCATTTGACAGAGGAAGAAACTGAAGGTCAGAGGTTGCCCCAAGTTACAGTTAGTAAGTGGCAGAGGCAAGACTTGAACCAGGGTGTAACTGTGTGTCCCTTACCCAGTATCATGTTTATTCCTTGTAGTACTGCCTCCAAAAGGGGAAACTGACTGGAAGGCATCTGCTTATGCTTCTGATCTCCACTATACCCATTCCTAGATTCTCTCTCTTCAGGATAGACTCTACCCTATCTCACAGCCTAGAATCCTAGTCCATCAAGCCAGCCTTTTTCAGGAAAAGCCTCAAAAGGCAACAATGATTTGCCACTGGAAGAAGAGGATAAGAAGCCACAACTCCCCCAAATGCAGAATAGTCAATGGGGAAAGGGGCTTTGGATAGTAACCAACTGATCAACAAACGTGTAAAAAATTTGTTTATCTGAGCTATCAATCTCCAACTGAGGGTGGGAAGGTGCCTACTTTCCCTGCCCCTATTTTAATCCCAGTACTTCCACATTCCCACAGTATACGCAGAAAAACCTTGACAAAGATCCTTTTTTTTTTTTTCTTCCTTTTTTTCTTTTTTACTGACCAGTAACGGGATCGCAACCCTCGGTGTCGCGCCCGCACCGCGCTCAGCCAGTGAGCAGGAACCGGTCTCCACATGGGATCCGAACCCTCGGCGGGAGCGCCGCTGTGCTCCCAAGCGGTGCACTCTCCAGTGCGCCACCGGGCCGGCCCATTGACAAAGATCCTTAAGGGATCATGAAGATATTACAGTCGTCTGGGGCTTTGTCAGCCTTTTGACTTGCAGCTTCTTTTCTCCCTTATGGTGGAGGAGGGCCTTCTGCTCAGAAGGCAATTTTGATTCTAGAAAATCAGAGGTCAGGATAAGCATTGCCCTTAGGGCTGCCTTTCAGGTAACGAAAAAGAGAGAACTTTAATTTTCCTCTTCAGGTACTGAGTTCAGGCTGAAGAGAGTCAGGACAGAATCTAATGCCACCAAGAAGCACAGTGCCTTTCCCTAGAGCATCCCCTCTCATGCTCTGCCTTTCAGGGACCAAAGCATAGTGTGTGAGGGACCCCAACCCAGCAGCATCACTCCCCAGGCATGGCTGTGCTCCTCCCCGTAGGCACTCACAGCTGCGTGTCTCCGGCCCTCGTTGCGGTCAGCACCCAGCCATTCCAGGGCTCGCTTCACCTCAAACTCCACGTATTCAGCAGTGAAAGTGTCCCCTGCCATGGCAAGGCGGCCAATGGCCTTAGATGCCATTTCCATGACAACTGGGTCATTGGAGGGGAGGAGGTTACGAAGATAGTTGGCAAATCTGCCAATTCGGGTAGCATTCCCGCCTTCCACTCCTATGAGGCTGGCTGGAAAAGAGGGAAAGGCAAAAGGTGATGATGGGGCGCATGATGGCCAGTAAAATACAATCTTGAACTGAAAGCTGGTGAGTGATTGCTTCATTTTACTTTGAGTGCATTTCTAGATGGTTAGGATGCAGACAATTTTCATTTTAACCAATACATTTGGTATTTGTGCCAGAACTACACAAAGCAAAATGATCTCATTTTATTACACAGAATTTGTTTTCCCAAGAAAAAAAGGAAAACAAACTGGGAGTGAATAATAATTCACAAGATTGATGACCAGTCCTTGGGAGTCAAAAAGACCTGCCTTTTATTAATGGTACCCTGATCCCCCTTTTCCATTTGTGAGCCCCACTGTGTCAGATCTTGCTCTACTAAGAAGCCAGAGCCTGCAAAAGGCAATAGGGTATAGTGGGAAAAAAGTTGGCTTCTAGTGTCAGCTCTGGCAAACTGTCTGGCTCTAGAAAAGTCACTTAAATGATTCTTAGACTCGGTTTCCATATCTAAAAATACCTGCTTTGCCTACATCCCGAGACAGCTGCTAGAATACCTGTATAAGTGCATTAAGAGCCACAGGCCCCTTAAAATTCATTAAACAAATATGAGCTAAGCATCTAGGAAGCGGCACACACCAGGTGTAGTGGACAAAAAGGTGAGTAGTCCTTTATTCCCCGTTATTGTTATCAGAGACTCTCTCCTTACCAATGGCCAAGATGCCACCTTTCCTCTCATTGGCATCTGAACTGGAAACCAATTCAAAAATGTGATGGTTCAGCTGATCATAGAAGCGAGTAGACTCCTCCTGACTCATCTGCAAAGGAAGATGTACTCAGAACAATTTCTAATGTCTCCCTGATAGTGGTGGTGGTAGCAGACTGGCATCTAAAGATTAGAACCTAAGAGACAGCAGGTACAGTTCACCCAAAGAAGACAAGCTATTGCCCATTTCCATAGTTTTAAACTGTGGATCAGCTGAACTCAAAATTCATCTGCTTATTTAACAAATACTTATTCAGTATCTACTCTATTGCAGACAACATCCTATCCTAGCTTCTTCCTAGTACCAGGGGTACAAGGATAAATAAGATACTGTCTCTGGCCTCAAGTCTAGTCGCTATTTAGAAAGCCCTCAGTTATCAACTCTCCAAACCCATTCCAATCACTGGTATTAGAAAGAAAGAATTCAGGACCTGGTACGCGGTAGAGAAAAAAAGAAAAAATTAAAAGAAACAGCTAAATCTATGCTGACTCCTAAAATGTGATCACAAATACAAGAAATGCCACAGAAATGTGCAACTGCTGCAAAGGATACTGCACGTTCTATGAATGTGAGAAATTGAGTCTTTCTAAAACAGAATCTTTGAGTTTTCCAAATCCTCACTTAGCTGTCAAAAAGAATCTAAACCAGTGATGACACACTGAGCTCAAACATCCCGCAATGACTGGCCCCAAATCACAGAAGCCCAACCTCTCGAAGCTCCATGGTGACATAGTGCTGGAGCTCCTTGGCAGCTTTGGCCCTGGTCTCCTCATTCCGGCTCTTCAGGCCACTGGCAAACTGCTGCAGAACACTCACATTGCTAGATGTGGTGGTGGTTGTGGTGGCGGCGGCAGGTCCAGTTCCAAGCATTTTGCCCTGGGATTCTTTGGAGAGAAGCTTCCTTTATATTCTGAATAACAAACTATGGCGATAAATTTATTTATGGCCAAGGTTCCTCAATACATATCTTCAACCAGCCCATGTCACGTAAGAGATTCTAAAAAGGTTGGGAGATCTCACTGAGGAACGTGTAGAAAGCCTAGATTCATTTCAGTAATGACTGATGTTTAAAAGAGGCAGTGTGTAGGTCAAATTGTGGGCTATGGAGCTATACTACCTGGGTTTGAATCTTGCTCCAAAGTTATATACCTTTAGGAAGACACTTAAAATTTGTTTCCTCAAATGCAACAGGAAGATGATAGTACCTAACTCATGGGTTGCTGTGAAGATTGGAGTTAATACATATTAAAAAGTGTTTAAAACAATGCTGGGCATTGTAAGTTTTTGGGCACACAGTAAGTTTTTAATAATTATTATTATTATTACTACTATGTACATAACACAGTGCCAGGTAACAAAGGTGGGAGATAGGGAAAGAATTAAAAGTGGCTAAAGCTGCCCCTTTCCTCAAGGAATTCAATCTAAAGAGGGAGACTGATTATTATTCTATAGCAGCACTGTCCAATAGCAATATAATAGGAGCCACAAATGTAATTTTAAATTTGCTAGCAGCCCTATTAAAAATGGTAAAAAGAAAAAAGTAAGGGCCGGCCCGTGGCTCACTCGGGAGAGTGTGGTGCTAATAACACCAAGGCCATGGGTTCAGTTCCCATATAAGGATGGCAGGTTAGCTCACTGGGTGAGCGTGGTGCTGACAACACCAAGTCAAGGGTTAAGATCCCCTCACTGGTCATTAAAAAAAAAAAAAAAAAAAAGAAACAGGTAAAATTAACATATTTTATTTAACCTAATATATGAAAAAATATCATTTCAACATGTTATCAATGTAAATGATACATTCCATTCTTTTCTTTTGTACTGAGTCTCCAAAATCTAGGATGTATTTTATACTTACAGCAATATCACTTTGGACTAGTCACATCTCAAGCGTGCTATGGCCACATGTGGCTAGTGTTTACTATATTGGACAATGCAGTTCTATAGTATACAAGTCCTTCAAATGTGAGCTAAAAGAGACCAATAAGTTTCTGAGATCATTCATTCATTCCTCAATCATGTACTGTTCTTTTTCTCAACGAGCTTATAAACCAGGGAGAAATACAAATAATTAGGAATCGGAAGAAAGTGGCCCTAATAGGGCTCAGCCCACACTGCTATGTAAGTAACATATACCCATCCCGAGTACGTACAGATTATACTAGAAAACCAATTTCTCAAAATTCTTATTTTTGAACGAATTTGTGAGATGCAGAGGAAAAGCCAGGGAATAATTAGTTTTAAAAAGCTTTCAAATACTCCGGTGCCAAGAAAAAGACTGCATTAGGAAATGTCATCCTTTAAGGAAGAAGAAACCTAAGGATCTCTGATAAGAAAACTACTAAGGTTTGTGGGTGTGTGCGTATGAGGAAGGGGAAGGAGGCTGGCAAGGAATTTCCATTATCAGGAAAGAACGATTGTATCTGTGTCTTCTAAGGCCCCAGGCTGTCTGCTCCAGGCTGAATCCAATTAAACTACTTGAAGTTAAATATCCTAAGGGTCTTGGTAAGGGCTTAAGGAAGTTAGAACTGGATGGCTGAAACAGGGGATGGGGCGGGGGAAAGGCGGAGTAACCCCAAGAATGGAATCCAGCTCAACTCTGGGGACTGGGTCCTTGAGAGGTCTCCACGGTGGAGTGCAAGGGGCTAGCACTGAGGCTGGTGCTCCCTGAGACAGGGTCCACAATTTCTAGGTGACTCAGAAGGAGTGACTGGGACGGGCAAGGAGACCCATAAGCGACAAGGCAGTATCGGAGCTGACGGGCCGGCCTTCTGGGCTCCCGGGACGCACAGGGGGCCGAAGGGTCCGAGGGTCTCTCGGGTATCCCGGGGAGGTGGGCGTTCCCTCGCGGGGTGGGGGTCAAGGGCTCAGGCGGCGCCCCGGTGGTGGGGCAAATACGGAGGAGACCCTACGTCCCAAGCCGGCGGCTTCTCCGGGCCTCCCCCATGGACCAGGCTGGTCTTGGGTCTGGACATTACGCCGCCTTGGAGGGGTCGGTGCCAGCCCCAGACTCACCGCGCGGCTTCGGCCAAGGCCTCAGCTGCCGCCGCCAGCGCCGCTACCGCCGCCTCAGACCCTGGCCTCACCACCCGCCTTCCCCGCTGTCCTCTGAGCCGGGCGGGTGGGAGGACGGGCTCCCAGGAGTGAGAACCAATCGTCAGGCGTAAGGAGAAGATGGACTGGAACACAAACCAATAGCAATGAAGGAGAAGTGCAGCTTCGGAACCCGGCTTCTCCAGGGGGCGTGGACTGTTCAAATAGACAAACCACGCCGCCAGTGGCAGACGAAAGGAGGCTTAGGTCAACTAGGAAGAACCAATCGGTCGTAAGTTGACTTCGGTCACTTCCACGCACACATCCGGTGCATCGCTTACTGTGATTCCCCTCTGCATCGCGGCCTCGGAGGTGCGGAGTCCGTGTCCAGGTACCGCGCGGCCCGGGACCAAAAGCGGTAGGCGGAGGTTCTCGCCCCCGCCCTTGTAATTCTGAGGGGCAGGTGAGCGATGCCGGCGCCCTGTAATTACTGATCTGTGATTTCACTATCATTAAATGGCATATGCATTTGAAAATGTTTTTACATTTTCTCACTTTCCCAAAATTAGTTCACAAGAAGAAACCACAGCCAAGTTTTGACTAAAAGAGCTACTCATAAATAAAAAACTTCAAAGCAACACTGTTAAAAAGAAAATCTTTTCAGGGCCGGCCTGTGGCTCACTCGGTAGAGTGCGGTGCTGATAACACCAAGGCCACAGGTTCGGATCCCATATAGGGATGGCCGGTTCGCTCACTGGGTGAGCGTGGTGCTGACAACACCAAGTCGAGGGTTAAGATCCCCTTACCGGTCATCTTTAAAAAAAAAAAAAAAATCTTTTCAGAAAATACATAGGAAATATGGAATTTGACTACATCTCTATTTTTTAAAAAATTACAGTGCTGTTTGTCATAATAAACATTGAAAATTCCTAAATATCCGACAGTAGGTGCACTAATATTAAGGAAAACTTATGTAGCCGTTAATACTCGTATGATAATGTCGATGAATATTTGCTAAGATGGAAAAGGTTCACAATTTACTCAAAAAATACAAGTTATACAACAATATGAGTATAATATACCCCTTAAAAAAACATTTATCCATTTCTTATATATCCGTGTTTACATGGGGAAATATGAGCACACGACTAAGATGTAATGGGGTTTGGGGAAGACACACGTTTTTCCTAATACATTTACATCAATTACTTGTGTAATAAAAATAAGTTTTTGTTGAAGAAATAAAAGTTTCCAGGTCTAAATTGCCAAATTAAATAGGTTTGGTAATATTCTATGGCTAAAAATACAGCTTTGGCAGCTTTGTTTTTTTTTTTTTTAATTTATGATTACTACCTTAGGTTTAAACTCTTTGCTTCTTCTGTTAAGTAATTGTTCCTCTAAATTTCACATTTTGGGGCCGGCCCGTGGCTCACTTGGGAGAGTGTGGTGCCAACGGATATCACTGAATGAAAAGCCGGGAAGAGGTGAGCAGGAGCACATCCTTACAGAATGTTTCCACGATGCAGATACGACAGACGTCAGCAAGCTGAAGAGTGTCAGCACACAGTAGATGTTCAATAAATGCTCGTTGCATGAATCAATTAATGAGTCCTGTTTCGGTGAATGGAAGTGCTCTGTAAGTCGAAAAGCGACACGCCTTCGGGGTCGGTCTGGTGATGCTAAGTGAAGCTGTTTACAACGAGCCTGCAGGGCGCGATCTTCCAGGCAGAAGGGCTGGACCGCGGGGTCGCAGCCCCGGCCCCGCCCCCGCCCCTAGCCCTACCCACCCGGGCCCCG